TTTCCCTAGGTAGCACATACTGTGGTATTTATAGAAAAAGTCAACATTTTTTTTAATAAAAATAAAACTAAAAAACATTTTTGCTAAAGGCATCACAACTGTAATTGTAATCCACAGTCAGAACTGATTGTTAATGGTATGATGCAAATCCTGATCTAATGTGTCATAATTGTGTTATGCTGATGTCTCTCACCATTTCACTTCACATATTTTCAGTACTCAATTATGCCTCATTTTATGTTGTGAAATCTTAAATGGGACTTGTCACTTTCCCAAATACAGAAGACAGTCTTAAAACTGACATTGTAAAATCAACACGCTAAGGCAGAAAACTCCAGAATTTTTAACATTAAATCAACAAAATACATCAATGCTCCCTCTACTACTTTATTTTCAATTGCATCATTTAAGGGGAAACTAAATAACAGAATGAGTATAGAATAATTCAAAGAGCTCACTTGTAAATCACAGGGTCATTACTATGTGGTGCTGTTGAGAGCCCGTGCAAAATGACCTGGTGCCCTCGCTGCAGATCCCAGGGACAAATGTCCCAACTGTGTCCAGAGCCACTTTCACAACGAGACTCAGACCAGCTTCACAAACTGGCCAAAAGGAGAACAGACACGGACACGCTTCTGCTGTCCACTGCACCTTGTCAAAACAAGGTCAGCTAGAACCAACTGAAACAATGCTTTTGGGACGGCGAGTATTTGCATTTCGTGAAGGCCACAGAGCACTTCAAGGCTAACAATGTCTAGGCACCAACACCCTGTCTTTGAAGAAACAGCCAAAAGCGGATCATTCCGTCACTTCTAACAAGTCCTCTTTTAAGCACAACACAGTAACATTTTCAAAAGCGCAAAAAAAAATATTTATCTTGTATTTGACAATTTTGTGTTCAGTTATAAAAGGATTTTATTAATATCTCCAGGTAAGTTTCATTACTCTAAAGAACACCAGAAAACAGTTTGTTCAGTTTTGTACGTAAGCTCCTCCCTTTTGGAGCAAAAAAGTATTAAAAATGCTTAAGTGCAATTGGTTATATTTTGCCCTCACGCTAGAAAAATGCTTATTGAGCCAGAAACTAAGAAGAAAGTTAAAACATCCAGAAAGCAAGCAATTTCACTATATGCAATGTATTCACTTTACAGCTTAAAAACTGTTTAAAAATGAACACTGCATGGTAGAGTAGTTTGGCAGTAAACATGATTGTGCATTTGTGTCTTGGTATTGAAGAAGGAGCCTTTTTTCATAGTGAATTTTTCATTCAAATGTAAGTGATGATTTACGTTAAATATAGGTAAAGCATAGCTACATTTTCCTGAAGGATTGCAAGGAAGTGAAGAGCAGTACAATAAGTTGAAGCATAAAAGCTTTCTCTGTCATAATATTTATTATAATGGCATATAAAATAGCTGAAATAAATAATAGATGACTAAAAGTAAATTCATATGATAAAGAATCTTTCAGCAGACACCATTACTTCTGACTGCTCCAGTTTCATACAGAGTTGAAGAGTCTTAATAAATATGCTGTAGCCCCTGTATCTTATGTAAGTACAAGTCATTTTGTAGGGGCCTACTTACAATGTAACATAGTGGACACTAGATAATTTACTGTATAATTTTAATCTCAAAAAATATCGTATCTGTATCTTTGATATTTAGAACTCCTTAAATCAAA